AGCTGTCCAGATGTATTTTTCAGGAAAGGCTCAGCATATTTCAGCAAGACGATGCCAAACTGCATACTGCATCTATTACGACAGTGTGAATTTGTAGTAGAAGAGTCCAAGTGGTGAATTTTCCTTCTTGCAGGACTTTGAGCAGCTTGAATCCTCTATGGGACAAGAATGAGACCACATTGCTCTCCTAAAAGTCCAGCAGCACCAGTTCCCACGTGTTTACAGACTGTTGTTGTTGTGTGACATGACCCTGGCCAACTTTATTCAAATGTAAAAAGACTTTTGTTTTCTTTAAAAAGTACATATTTTCAGTTTACACATTGTTTTCTTTGTTCTATTGTGAACGGAACATTTTATTATTTTATTAGGGATTAATGAAATATTCTGATTGTGAAAAATATAAAGTTATGAGATCTGAAAATCACTGCAACCGTTTGGTGGATGGTGTGTAAAATATAGAAAAGAGCTAATGATGAGAACATGAGAAGTAAAACTGAAATAAAAAAATCGAGGTGTTTCTTGCTCTCAGTCCAGGGGTGAGAAACTGAAACTGGACAGCAGCAGAGCTTCTCCTTCTTCTTCTCCTTCTCCTTCTTCTTCTTCAGCATGCTGATGTGCAGTTCAAACACACGGGTATTTGGTCGTAAAGTGAAGCTTTGAAAGTACTGACAGTATTAACATGCTACCTAATCAAACATGGGTGTTTGGGCCAACACACATGTTGTAAAAACCCCAAGCACGAGCTGGGCAGACCCTGTTGTGGAACCATCAGAGGAACATCAAAGACTTCTGAGATTATATAACAGGAAACTTTGCGTACCTCGTTTGCTGTTTGATTCCTTTCGGTGGTTTGCTGCTGTTCTTTTCACTGATGAGTAGGAGGCAGCAGCTGCAGGATCTCTCTCTGCAAATACCAAAGATTTCCCTCTGATAATACAACCGTTACTGCTGCTTCGGCATGTTAATATATATAAAGCATTGTGTTTTTAATGAAGCTGAAATAAAACAGTAACTCTTTCAAAAATCTTTCTGAATGCTGAAAAAAATGTCTCTTTTTTACAGTCAGATAGCTGGATGGCAGCAGAGCTTCTGCTCTCATCGAGGCTCTTTGACCACAAAGTCTGAAAACATAAACTAATCATAAATATTAAAATATAAGAATATATTTCAAATATGATGATTATCATAAATTATCTTAATCAGTTTGACTATAAGTAGCTTAAAATGGACTTTTAGAATTTACTTAAAAATGTGAAGGTCTATGGCTCAACAACTCACAAATATAAAAATGTGAAATTAACGCATCCTGTGCACCATGTGACCATTTTTAAAGGAACAGTTCACCTCATAATCACACCTACACGTGTTTGGTCTCCAGTGCTGCTTATCCACTCAGATTAGTGACTGGCCAAACTTAGAGATATTTGATTACATTTTTTTCCTTTAAACTATTTAACATGTTCACATTAAGTGTGAGCAGAATGTGTGTCTCACCTTCAGGTTTCCTCTGGACACATCGCCTAACCAGTACAACCAGTACAACCAGCATTAGCAGCCCAAATATGAAGGGAACAGAAACCAGCACAGAGAGAGGAGGAGAGGAGCGCTGAGAAGGAGGAGTAGAGGAAAACGAGGAGGAGAAAGAGGCAGTGGAAGCTGATGGAGGAGGAGAGGTGGAAGACCCTGGAATTAAATAGAAAAAGGATCTTTGTGGTCACTTTGAGTCGCTTTTGGTCTAAAATCTGTAAAATAAACAGAAGCTCCTCACCTGTGACAGTGATCCAGCTGGATGGAGACTCTCCATGACCGCTGATGTCACACTTGTAGAGGCCTTCATCAGACCTGGAAACATGCTGGATGGTCATGTGACCTGTAGGCTGCTTCCTGATGAGGGAGCCATCTTTATAGAAAGCAGCTGGGAGGTTGGAGGGAGTGGTCTTTGTTTTACAGAGCAGAGTGACGTCATCTCCCTCCATCACAGGGAGGACAGGACTCTGCAGGATCACTGATCCACCTCAACACAGAGACAAACTACAGCATTTCATCCATTTACACACAGCTTCATCAACACTAACTCCACACACTCAGCTTACCAGTGACTGTCAGGTTAACCATGTTACTGATGGGACCCTCTCTGGACTCACACCAGTAAACTCCACTGTCCAAGGTGGCAATGGCATTGAAGATACAGGAAGAACCAGCTGGTTTTCCCCACTTGTCACACTCAGTTCTGATGTCTCTGCTTGTGTTTCTCCTCAGAGTCCATCCAGCAGAGCTGTCGTCCTCCTCACAGCTCAGAGTCACAGAGTCATATTCAAAGAACTGAGATCTGTTGGGACTCGCACTTAAATGAACTGAGAGAAAAACAAACAATTATTTATATATTTTCTCACATAGAGAGCATAAAAGAGGATCCACAAGTGCAGCTTCTGAAACAGCTTGTTGATCAGATGCCAAAAGCCTTCCCTTTCAATCTTGCTGCTATCCTTCTGTCACAAATCACCCTGATGAATCTCATCTCCATCCTGATATACTAGTAGATGTTAAAAGGCACTGGCAGGTAGCTCTCGTTAAACAAAATATAACATAACAGTTTATTAAATTCCAAATCCTAAATCTGGTGCAATACAGTAATACAACAACAAACAGAACAGCTCTACTCAGTAACCGTTTTTCTGTGAGTGCTGCTGTTCTGTTCACTTAGACAGAATCCTGATGGCTGACACGTTGAACTAACCAGCTGTGCAGATGTTCATGTAGTGATCAAACACTGTGGGTTTTACATAAGTGTCCTATGTGCCTCTTAGTTCATCGTCTCTTTGAAGCAAAATGTTTTATCTCCTCTCACTCAACACCAACCTTCTTCCCCCTCAAATAGGTGTGAGCAGCACTGTGGGGCTTTTTTGCTCACACATTTAAATATAAGGGATAAAACTCATCATACACAACCAACAGCAGAAAAAAAGACTCAATTCAATTTGAAATTTTGAGCATGTTTGATGGGAAAAAAGATACCGAACTGTAACAACAGATTTTTAATATTTTTAGGTAGACAGTCTGGTGAGAGCTGAACATGTATGTGACTGGATTTTCTCTCAGTCTATGTTAAAAGCACATCCGATCACTTTAACTAAGATTTACAGGTCACTCTGAAGACAACATGAAGATACTAACCTTTTTACATTCACCCTCTTTTTTTTTTTTACTAATAAGGCCTCAAAAGTGCACGAGCTTGTTCACTGGACTCTTATAGTAATATCGTTGACAAGAAACGTATCGACTTCCGTGTCAGGAGCTGCTTCTGCTCACGTCTTGGTATCTAGCTGACACTATCTGAAACCAGAAGGCTGAGCTTTTATAATATCATTAAAAATACAATCAGCAGGATTTTTATTCAAATATTAAACTGAATCAAGACATTTTATTAAATGTTTGACTGAATTTTACCACACAGAGTTTCACTTCACCAACCGTGCATTAAAGCTGCTCTGACTCAGCTGGTCCATCTGAGCCTAACCAGTTTCTATTCTGTCTCTACTTTTGTCACATTCAGCACAGTTCCAAGTTGTTTTTACACTCTTTTATTTTTTATAAAAAGTGTTAGTTGGTAATAAAGCAGGTTGTCCCTCACCTTGGTTAGTTGTGCAGCAGAGCAGCGACATCAGGTCTGAAAACGAAGCACAACAGATACCAACATCTGTTTATAGGAGCAGCAGAACGGTGACCACAAATTAATTTCCAAGCGATGAACTCAAAACGACTTCTTTAAACAGGATGTGCCGTGTAGGAGGAGGTGAGGATACGGTTTCAAACTGCAGTGGTTTATGTGCAAAATCACATTTTTAATGACGTTTAAAAAGTAAAATGTTATAACCTCCTGTTACAGATGTAAAGCAGCTGGATAGAAAGAGCTGATGTGCACACTTCTACTTAAACCTTCTTAGACCATCCTAAAAGTTGCATCTTCCTCTTTGTAGTCTCGTCTCTTGTCCATTTATCTCGAGGTCATTATCACAGTTATTGAGTAGTGTCTCGCTGCCACTCTCAGCAGAACAGCTTCAAGTCACGCAATAAGATTTAAAGGCAGCATGTGGTACTTACAGAGCGGCCACAGAAGACGTGTTTGTCCCATCGTGCCACACAGATCT